GACCGATAGGCTATCTTTGGAAAGTCCTGAGAGCACCCATTTTTTATGATCGTTTCAACCGGCCGACCATATAGGTCAGCTGACTGAACCTGCCCTGTCAGCTGGCCGACCAAGGGTTTCCGGCTTGCTGATTCTTTCCCTTTGACTTGTACATTTGACCATCTTTGTAAAGTTATACCATTGGAGTATTTTGGACTGGACTGATTTGTGTGTCAAGTATTGACATATGAAAATACGGTATTGTCCTTAGTTGACCTCAGGTTCAGTTAAGGACCCGGTTAACGGTTCGGACCCACGGGTTTGAGTCGTTACAGGATTTAAGGGTTGTTGGAGTTTGATCTTGAATTGGGCTATTGACTATCTTCTTCAAGTATTTGTAATTGAAGAAGATCGCCGATGATTTCTGATCGAGGGTGGACGAAGCTTGATTTCGAACAGTGTTGTTTGATGATTTTTTGAACTTATTGAAATGCAGGTTAAGAACGGTACGATTTTGATGTGTTTGTTGTTCTCTGTTGAATTTGAGGAAGAACGACACGATTTGATGTGCTTGTTGTTGATCACTGTGGCATTTTGATGAGGAACGGCACAATTTGATGTGCTTGTTACTCTTCGCCTTTAGGTTTGGTTGCTAGGGATGAATGTTGGCAGAGCTTCTGTATTTTTCTCTGGAATTCTCTCCCTCTAGATTTCTGGCCCTTTGGATTTCTGAGTCTCTCAATTGCTGGACGCTCTGGATTTCTGAGTCTCTAAATTTCAGACCTCCTTCCTCTTTCCTCCATGCCTCTATTTATAGGCTTCTTGGATTAATAGGATGATGACACGTGTCCTCTCCTAATAAGAAGAAAATTATAACTGGGCCGGATAGGTTATATTATATATGATAATTATCCATCTATTGTGATAATTATCCATAATTATTTCAAATATATTTATTAAGAATAATTATTTTTTTATTTAATCACCTGAACTGGACTAATTAAATAATTTAAGTGGATTAAGTTTGGGCCAATTAAACAATTCAATTAAAATGTCAAAATAAAAGTCCATTAAAATCTTAGTGTCTATAATGTCGAACCCACATTTTGTTTGATTAAATGGCCGAATTGGCGTTGTCCAGGAAAAAGGGCGGGAAAATAACAGGTGACCAAGAGACTCAAGAGATGATGTGCAAAGGCAGCAATGATTTGGGATATTCCAATAGCTCAGACATTTGTGATTACTGCCATTTCCAAGCCAGTTATGATCCCAAAATCGAATTTAGCTGTCATTTCGCACTTCAAGTTTGACGAAGCAGTCTTCTCCAGCTCCATGAACTTTTTTTTGTGGAATATTGATTTCCAATAAGCATCTCCCTCTAATCAGGTAAGTAGAAGCCCATTGAGTCCATGAACTATTTTTGTTGTCTGCAATAATGTTCCATAGGTGTCTTACCACTGCTAATTTGTCGAGAAGCTCAATGTTGGGGTTGGCTAGTCCACCTTGAACTTTAGGTCTACCCATGGGCGGAGGCAGCATGTGCCCAGGGGGGCAGCTGCCCCCTGCCCATGCTGCCCCATTATAATTTTTTATTTTTTTATACATAAATATATAAAAATTGACATAATGCCCCCCTAAAATTAATAAAATGACCCCTCTATCCCTGAATCCACTAAAATTTATTTTATTTTATGCGTATAATTTGTAAATATTTATAAAACACTCTCATAAAAATTATAAATTATCCTCATAAAATTATCTATTTTTAAAAATGTCTTTAATTTTTTATTCCTTTTCGTTCTTACATTTCAAATTTCTTTTTGTCATCTTAAAAAACTTTTGCATTCTCTTTCTATAATTAAAATCTATTTTTTCCTTCAAAATTGTCCATATTTTTTTCTTTTTATTTCATTTTCTTCTTAAAAATTTATTTTTTCTTGCACTCAAGTATAATTTATGTGCAATAACATTCTTTTTCTTTTTTCTATTCTTATTAATTTTTTATTCATGATTCTAATGCACTGTTGTTACACTTATATTTTCGACTTACTTGAAAAAAAATTATTTTATCAGTGTTAATGCCCCCTGAACCAAATTCTTGGCTCCGCCCCTGGGTCGACCCACCTTAGCCCAAGGTATTTACTCCCCTTGCTTTTTAGTTGAGTCCCTGTCCATGAAATGTCTCTGCAAATTCTGTTAATCTGAGACGGACACATTTTGGTAGCACAAATAGAGTAGGCCAGAACAATTGCATGTTATTTAGGACTGACTGGGTAAGTTGCAATTTTCATGCATGGGAGAGAAATCAGCTTGCCCAGTGACCTATCCTTCCTGTGATCTATAACACCTATCTGATGCTTTAAATTACTTTACTTTTATCAACTTTTGCATGTTGCTTACCCCACCCCCACCCAACACACACACACACACACACACATTGAGTCATCACATTGACCAGATGAGTTCAGAGCCATGTTTGTCATCAACTCAAAATTTAAAGATTATTATTTTATTTTTGTAAATTTTTTTTTTTTTTTTTAATTGGATTATCGGAGTAAAGAAGAATTATCTTACCTCCATTCATTCTCAAGAGTATTATCTTTTCTATGTTTTTTATTTTTATTTTTTTACTATTTCAATGAAATCACACTCATTGATTAATTTGTTCTTTCTGCAATGACAATTAACCATACGATATAGAAAGATAAAAGACATACACAAAAAGTTAAAGAAACCTATTCACAACACCTAATCCTCTCGTTTTTCTCTAAAAACTACCTAGCTGCATTCACTCATGACCTGTTGTTTCAATAACAAGTTAATTAGGATTTCCAAAGTTTTTAAGATGCTTACAATGCTAATTGTAAGATCCAAATCTTATTGCATTTGTCTTTTGTGAATAAGGGTTTTAATCACCGCCTTTATCTCTATCTCATATATTTGGATAGTTAGGTAAGAAGGTGGAGAAGACGACATATTAATACAATTTCTAACTCTGTTTTGTTTTAATCAGCTACATAGAAATCGATGTTTCCAACCTGTTCCTACCCTACACGTGATCATGACTTTTTGGAGCTTCGTAGTTATTTTTTCTCATCACTGGAACAAGGTCACAACAAGCAAGAGCTGTCAAACATTTTTTTTTTTTTTTTTGTTAAAGAGCTGTCAAACATTGTTAACTAAGAAGGTTCAAATGCTGTATGTGACCACTAACATTTATTTAGGAGCTCTAATATATGTTCTTTCACCTTGTGAACTGTTTGTTTTTCTTAAAATCCTTCTGCATTTGCGAAAAGGCGAAGGTGTCAAGTCTATAATTTCATTTATATCTGATTGTCGCTAGATAGCGTTGAGAAACGTGCAAATTTTTAAAAACTTTTTGAGGGATTTTCATACATAGATCTTGGTTCATCACATAGAGACAAGTTTTATACAAAAATAAAATATGATGTATTATTCAATTAATAAATTGAATACTTACATCGAAAGTTTGAAAAAACCTTTAAATCTTTCCTTTAAAGTGAATGTTCTCACTTATTATAGATCTCCTAACAAGATGCCTTCTCCTTGGATCTCCATTTTCTTGGTAATGGTTTTGCCTTGAAAAAATAGGCTTGTGGGGGCCTCTATTAGATGAGAAAGCAAACCCTAAAATCTAGAGAGAGAAAAAATATATTCATTTTTCTTTTCTTCTAAAAGTCTGTCTTAAAATATAAATGAACCTATGCATATATAGACAACATAAAAATAAGAAAATGAAACAATAAATCATTTTCAATCTCTAATTCACATATCTCAAATCTAATAGAATTATATCAAGTTGGGTTATGAGTGAGAATCCTATTGGGCTTATTATTTTCTTGACTACAATGAATTAATAATTGGTCCAGTCTATGGATCCAATTCAATTAATTCAAAAATTAATTTCTACTCCACTAAAAGAAATTAATTGAACTCTAATTAAATAATAAATAATCTTTAAGTCAATGTTGTACTTTAACCCCTCTATGCATAATTAGTTATCGGATAAATAAAGTCATCAATTCGACTACTTAATTAATATATTTATTTTGATACCTTTGATTATTTCTGACTCGACCACAATAAAACATTTGTTTGATAAATAATAATAATAATAATAATAATAATAATTTAAATAAATAAATATATAATAAATCATTTTGTCTAAAAACACACGAATGCCTTCGAATTTATTTTGTGATTAGTTATAATCAATACAAAATAAATACAAGTAGTAATGATGCAAATATTGAAAATATAATCCCCTAACTATTAATTACATAATTACCCAAAGTGCCGGTTTAAGAATTTCGAAGATTCCGCTGAACAAATCAAAGTAATTACTAATCAATAAAAGAGTCTATACTTCTCTCATGCTTAAGAGTCAAATTGAATGACAGTGATATGGAGCAATTGCATACGGCGGCTCTCGCAATATATGTTAACCTAACACGGATCCAGTTCAAGTCTTAATTAATTATGAGTCCGTCCATAATTACCGACTATGAATAATTTATAATTACTATTTATATTCATGTATTGATCGCCATCACATACACATATAAATATCTCTTGTAATCAAATGGACACTATCAATTCTACAATGAATCGAAACATAACACATTGAATTCACTTATTGTATAAAGTATAAATATTTCAAATACATCAGAAATATATGTCACTTTAATCCAAATAGGAATTCGCTATGTTAAGGCATATAAATCCCATTAAATAGAACATTACGAAGCAAAAAGACACAGATAATTGGATCCTGAACTTCTATTGTGTCCATACATGTTTCCTGGATAGCTTATCTTCTGTAAATCACTATAAAAATAAATTAGCATACTTATGCAGCGATTTTAACTATGTTTAGATTTGTTTTCAAGTATATCTTTTATTCCCATACTATATACGCGCACACATTAAGATTTTGATTCTAATCTAACTATATATAAGTAAAGAATATATAAGATCAATCTGAGAGAACCCTATTTGCCATGGCTTGGAATATTTGGGTGACACTTGCATTGGTTGCAATTTTTGTTTATCTTTTGCAACTAGCATGTTCACGGAAGAACAACAGTAGAAGATTACCTCCGGGACCAAAAGCAGTCCCAATTTTGGGACACTTTCATTTGTTAGGGAAGCTTCCTCACCATGATCTGCATCAACTGGCCAAAACATATGGTCCTATTATGTTCATGCGCTTTGGCTTCGTCCCCAACATCGTTGTCTCATCACCAGAAGCTGCTGAGCAGTTTCTGAAGACACATGACCTTGTTTTTGCTAGCAGGCCACCTCATGAGGCTGCCAAGTATATTGCTTTTGAGCAAAGGAACTTGACCTTTGCTGAATATGGCCCTTATTGGCGCAACATGCGTAAGTTTTGCACCTTACAATTGCTCAGTAACCTTAAAATTAATTCATTCCAGGCTATGAGAAAGGAAGAACTTGGATTTTTGATCAAATTGATCGAACAAGCAGCATGTGATGGTGTGGCTGTTGATCTCAGTGCCAAAGTTTCATCCGCTATTGCTGATATGACTTGTCTGATGGTTTTTGGGAAAAAGTACACGGACAAGGACTTCAATGAGAGGGGGTTCAAAGCTGTGATTCAGGAGGGCATGCAGTTGGCAGCCACCCCTAACCTTGGCGACTACTTCCCTTATGTCGGGGCACTTGACCTTCAAGGTCTGACTCGCCGAATGAAGGCTATAAACAAGGTCTTTGATGGCTTCTTTGAGAAGATAATTGATGAGCATCTTCAAGCTAGGGACCAAAGGCAAACCAAAGACTTTGTTGATATCATGTTGGACTTCATGCAATCTGAAGAAGCTGAGTTTCGTATAGATCGTTCCCATGTGAAAGCCATTATGCTGGTAATTATTAGATCGAATTTTATATATTTTGGTTGCATACCTATGCATGATATTTATCATTAATTTTCAAATAAATATATTTTTAACTGTTAATTTTTTTGTGCATGTGTCCTCCCTACTACTGTCTAGCTAGTAACTACTTCAAAAGTTTTAACTTAAACAATTATAGGAAAAGAACCTAGAAGGCTGGCTAATTGTATGCACCAAATGCCACTATATCTCATTACAAATCCAATTATTATACCTTAGAAAATCAATATGGGTGAGAGTCTAGGACACTGCTAAATTTCTAGTCGATCACTTACCATCACTGGGTAATTTTGTCAATATATATATATATGTTAATAAGTGGTGTCGTCAATTTACATTATTCATCATATCTGTATACCTGAAATCATGTTATGCAAAAAAATTCATTGCAGGATATGCTTGCAGCTGCTATGGACACTTCAGCAACATCAATTGAGTGGGTACTGTCAGAACTCTTGAAGCATCCACGAGTGATGAAGAAAGTCCAGAAAGAGTTGGAAGACGTGGTAGGTGTGGACAGGTTGGTGGAGGAATCAGACTTGGAGAGCTTGGAGTACATGGACATGGTTCTAAAGGAGTCGTTCAGGCTCCATCCAGTTGCACCCTTACTCCTCCCACATGAGGCCATGGAAGAGTGCACCATAAACGGCTTCCATATACCCAAAAAGTCTCGAGTCACCATAAACGTTTGGGCAATTGGACGAGATCCAAATTCATGGATTAATGCTGAAAAGTTCATTCCAGAGAGGTTTGCTGGGAGCGACATAGATATTCGGGGACGTGACTTCCAACTTCTTCCATTTGGCTCTGGCCGAAGAGGTTGCCCCGGGATGCAGTTGGGTCTTACATTGGTTAGGCTGGTGGTGGCACAACTGGTGCATTGCTTTGATTGGGAGCTTCCTAATGACATGCTGCCAAGTGAACTGGACATGAGTGAGGAGTTCGGTCTTGTAACTGCTAGAGCCACGCATCTACTAGCTATTCCTACTTATCGCCTTCACAAATGATGAAGTGGTTAGATAATGTTTAGATTTTCCTTTAATATTTGTGTAATTTGACTGCTAGAGGAGGTTTTGGTGGAGGAATGGAAGTGATCAGTTAGTTGGTCTTTCTATAAAATTTAAGGGTGACTTGGTTCTTCCATTAATTAAACTAGCAGAGTGATGCAGTTAACTTGATTTTTTATTTTTTTTAAAAAAAAGAAGAAAAAAAACAGAAGAAAAAGGAATGCGCTATAAATAGAAAATTATTGACCCTTTAAATTGGCAAAGACGGTCGATTCAAATAGAGGGCTTTACGCGGGTGTGCCAGAACCAATAGGCTTGGTTCAAATTTGGTGAGAATGGTCGAACTTAGTCTCGTTTGAAGAAATAGTGCACCAGGCGATTGTAGAAGGAGAGAACATGAAACTTTCCAGAATGGGTATTTGCGTTAGATGAAAAAGGACTTAAAGTGGGAAAGGAATAGCAATGAAACATAAACTTAATTTTAAAAAATGGAAAGCTACTGGAAAAATATTAACGTGAATTGATGAAGTGGTTAGATAATGTTTAGATTTTCTTTTAATATTTGTGTAATTTGACTACTAGAGGAGGTTTTGGTGGAGGAATGGAAGTGATCGGTTAGTTGGTGTTTCTATAAAATTTAAGGGTGACTGGTTCTTCCATTAAACTAGCAGAGTGATGCACTCAATTAGAATAAGCGGAAGCTTGATTTTTTATTTTTTATTTTTAAAAAAAAAGAAGAAAAAAAAAGGAATGCACTATAAATGGAAAGTTGTTAGTGTAATATTTCTGATTTTTCCTATTTTCCATTTTTTGGGATTTTTTTAAATTATTTTAGTTTTCACCTCGTTTTGTGTGCCGGACACCGTGGAGTGTATCGGGTGAGTTCCGAGAATTAATTGGGGCATTTCTTCAAGTCCGGGAATCTTAAAAATGCATGGTTGACCATTTTTGCATTTTTCAATTTTTCGGGCCGAGGGTTTCCGGGCGGGACCCGCAACCGATTTTGTCATGCATAGGGTTATTTTTCGGGACTTTGGCCTTTCATACATTATTATTTGATGCATGTTTATGTGGCTATATGGTTAAGTGTGCATTATATTATGTGTATATGTAAATGTGGATATAAAGGTGGTATTTTGACCGTGGGGCCCACTAATGACTTTAGTCATTATAATTCTCCTCCCTCTTTTCTACGCTGTTCTCTCTCTCTCTCTACAACTTTTTCTTTTTTTTCATCCAAATTCAAGGCTAGATTTACTCTTATCCATTAAGATTTTGACTTTGCCTCTCTCTCCACAACTTTTTTCTTTTTTCATCCAAATTCAAGGCTAGATCTACTCTTCTCCATTAGGATTTTGACTTTGCCACTGAAGGCAAAATCAACGAGCATGACGAGAGCTTCGTTTTGAACGGAGCAAAGTCTGATTTGGTCCACCTTTGGATTTCGGAATTTGAGCAAATTTTGGGGCTTGTGCTATTTTCTTGAGGTAGGGGTTTCCTAAGGTCTATTTCTTTGATCTTTGTTAGTTACCTCTTTAAATTTGATATATAAGCATGTTTAAGTTGTATGAAATTCTTGAGATATGAGCCTTGTTGTGTATATATGCTTTTTATGTGTTGTATATGATGTGTATGGGTTGGCACATAAAAGTGGCAGCCCAATGATGACATGGTGCAATGAAAAGAGGACAAGTGGACTAAATCATGGTCCAATGTTGAGTCTTCCACATAACCCACCAGTGACTTGGCCAGAATTTCCAACATTTCCATAGCCACCGATACAATAGCCACTTCCACAGTCACCGTACCAACCACCTCCAATACCTCAAGTATTTCCTTTAAATTTCCTTGGAAGAGATTATCTTGACCCGTGGGGCAATTATGGAAGATGGAGGAATAACCCACCATTTCTACTAGTGCCACCACCTGTGGTACCTGGGGCCTAACCAATAGCTAATCCACTGGTTTGGCCAAAGAATAATCCACCACCAGTGGCCAACCAGCCGCCAGGAGTTAATCAACCGGCTCAACCAGTTCTTCTGCATAAAGGCCAAATGATGGAATTGATAAATCGAGAATTTGGTTTAGCTGCCAGACGAGTAAGCCGACCGGCTTATAGAAAGCCATACCCAGAAATAGTTGATGAATTTGAGTTCCCTAGAGGGTATAAAGTTCCAGATTTTGTAACTTTTAATGCAGAAGGTAACCAATCTACTGTAGAACCACTACAACAAATAAGGTTTTCAGCGGCGGTCTAAACTGCCGGTTTTAGGTACAAAAAGCGCTGGTAATACATATACCGGCGGTTTTAGATAACCGCCGGTATAGTCACCGCCGGTAAGCTTCACCGGCGGTTTATAAGAAACTGCCGGGTTTGAACTCATTATTGGCGGTCAAATAAAACCGCCGGTGAAATATTAATTAACGGCGTTCTTGTCTGCCGGTGTATTTTAAGTAAACTGTCATTGTAACTATCTATTCCGGCACTTTGAAGCGCCGGTAATGTATGTTCTTTTTAGGTGCGTTTGTAAATGCCGGTGTTAGAATTTATCTCCGGCACCTTAAAGCGCCGGTAATGTATAATTTTTTTTTTTTTTAGGGGCGTTTTAAATCGCCCTTTTTAACGATATACTCCAGCAATTTAAAGCGCCGGTAATGTATAATTTTTTAGTTTTAGGGGCGTGTTAAATTGTCGGTGTATTGTAAGTGAACTGTAATATTTTTTTCTTTTGGGGCGTTTTAAACCGCCGGTAATGTGTTAATTTTTTTAAAATTTTTTATTTTTTTCCTGGTTTAATTTACATATTAGCAAATATTTTATTTTGTTTCCTGTTTAATGAAATCACATGTAATTTATCAATCACAACACATCCAACAACTTAAATTTGATATATAACATAGAACAAAGAAAGTTGCATTAAAATTCAATAACATCCCATAACATCTAAGTTTTGTTTCAAAATGTCAAGTGCTAATAAAAGGTTCAAAAGGAAATCATGCAAAATAAAACATCAAAATTTCATTGAGAATTTGAGTGAGACTATGCGAGGGCCTTGAGAATTAATGGTTCAATTTCATCTCTCGTCTTCCTTCAAATTGCCCTACATACATTTAAAATAAAAGCCATGAAACAAAGAATAATAATTAAGACAATTAAATGTATGATTAAAAGAAAATGATAATTAAAATCTAAATGCTTACCAAGGATGAAATTCCATGACCAAAAATAAAGTTTAAGGATCACCAAGTGTAGTAGTTGAGGAGCCGGGTACCTTCACAATAAAATATAATTTTATTTTGCACCTTCATAATACAATATAATTATAAATATATTAGGACTTATAAAATTTATATAGTTAAATGTTTACAAGGGTACAATAACAAAATTATTTACCTGTACATTAGAATTTTGATTTTCGATATGACGCAAAATCATAGCCATCTTTGCATTCAAAGCTTCATATTTTTCATCATACTCGGCACGCATCTTGTCCACTTTCTCATTCATTTCTGCACGAGCACGACGTGCCACTTCCTCTGCTTGTGAGGTCCTCCTTATCAGCTCCGCTTTACTAGGAGATGGCCCCCAAAGACTAGTTGGCGTAGGTCCCAAGCCATACATCCGAACACGGCCCCTTCTTTCTTCTCCCCTAACTTGGGCATAAAAATCATAGGGTGAAGGTTCATCTGGGTTAAAAGGCTGAGTTGCAGCAAGCTCTTCTAGTTGTGTCTGCATACATAGAATGGATAAGGAAACACAAAAAGATAAAAAATATCAAATATAATAAATTTTAGTACTCATAGTTTACACTTAATCAAACTAGAAAATAAATAATTGAAGGTCTAAAAAAATTCTTACAATCATTTTGGCAGCATGTTCATCACTAGCTTTGCCATCCTTCTTGCTCTTATGTGTTGCGCAAAATAGTTGAGCACGAGTTGGCGCCTTCCCTAATTCCAACTTCATCTGTTTTTTTTTTTTTTTAATATATATATATATATATATATATATATATATATATATATATATATATATATATGTTATTATAATTATATCGCACTGATGTATAATAAATTGTGTGACATACAAGTGATTAACTTAAATAAAAAAAAACAGACTTAACCTTTTCAGCCTTCCACGCATAACTCATTGTCCCAGTTGTGTGCAGCATTGTTTGCTTAGAGCGATTTACTTCATTTTGTTGGCTTTGTTTCTAAAACAAAGGAATAAGAAGGTATATATTAGCCTTTTAAATTGTAAACACACGCATGTTATATATGAGCTAAGTAGATTAATCCTTATTTTTAAACAAATGTTATATATGTTACAGGTTAAGTGAACACTAACTATGAAAAAATCAGCAGGATGTCTAACAACTAAATGATTCAACATTCTTTTGTACATTGACTTCCTCTTTGTTTTTACAACTAAAGTTGTCCTGTAATATCATTTCTACTCCATTTATTAGCTTCTTGCTAGTTGCTTTTGCTTGTAATCTATAACAACACATTCTCGACATATATATTTCCTTGTCTTGAGATTTTGTATTAGAATGTGTTATATCAAAACCTACCAAATTATAAATGGAGAAGCTACATATATCTGGATTGGTTGGGTTGAGCTAAATTATTGGATTATGAACCACCAAGAATTGTAGCATAGTGAATTAAAGTATGCTAGAATTAAAGGAAACATTGACATCAGAAATATTTTGTTGTCTCTATGATATTTTTACTGAACCATTAAATAAGTAAAAAATAATTAGATGAGGAAGTAAACCAACCCTTGAGAGTGTGTATCTGCTTTTGATTAGGCTGGTATTATTGTAAATCGCAATGGATATGGAAGGAGTAATTAAATAATGATCAACTGGAAAAGACCAAATAGCCTACCTAAAAAGGAATCTATATATATATATATATATATATATATAGAGAGAGAGAGAGAGAGAGAGAGAGAGAGAGAGAGAGATTTTATGAAAAGAGGGAATATGTGTGTTTTTGTGCGTGTGTGACCAGAAGGGAATGCTTTTAAGACTAGCAAATTGCTCAAGTTGTCTCAAGCACTACTCAGTTGCTTCACTTATTACATGTTCCTTTTGGGATTTCATTCCTGGGTTATGGCCTCCCAGGCTGTTCTTCCAACCTGAAATGGTCTTTCCACCTACACCGCCTCTTGAAGGTCTCCTCTCCCTCGGACCCAACTCATAGTGCAAGCATGCTGATTTTAGATCCACCAAGACCCCGCCATTAATAATAAACTTATGGTCCACTGATGTAGCAGCACTCAGCACTTCACAAAAATTTGAAATTTCAGAAGTTGATACTTCTCTTCATCTGTAGACATCTCTCGTGCTCTTAATCTCTAGACGTCTTAATATTTTCTATGTTCAGTTCTCTATTGTTTTATTTTTTTCTCAATGTATTCAAGATTGATAATGTCATTGTCAACTTCATGTTCAACAATTACATGATCATGAGAGATGCCATCATTTGGCTTCTGCTGGTATACTTTCTCAGCAAAAATTGTCTTACATTTGAAGGTAAAAGCTTAGCTTACCAGGTATAACAAGTGGCCAGCTATAATTCCACTTTGATTATCCAATTTATCCTGCTTTTTTTGTTCTAAGCGTCTAAGGTAAGGGGTAAATCTTCTATTTCAAGCATCCGTAAATTTTCAAAATTCAATAATCAACCAGGCCAATGAAATTATTTGGATCTTTCTGACTTGACCAATCCTCAAGTTACCAATTACATTTACAAATTCTAAAAGGGTATTTGAATGACAACTTATTACAAATGTTAGATTAATTTCATGGTTTGATTTGTCCTAAGTGAATGTGTATATGAAAATTATGTATTGATTAATTATATACTATTATTACATCATACACATTTTTAGTGAATTATGATCTTAACAATGTAAATTTAACATGGGCTTAAGTAGTAAATATGAAAGTAAATTTTAAAACAGTAAATTAGGACAAAATGTTATGGACATAATATGGCAAAAAAATAATACAGAAATATTACTTACAAAACAAAAGGCAAGGATACCAGGTTATGTATAAGCATTGAAGGAATTTTGGGTCTAATATTGACTTTTCTCTCTCTACTTCTCTATTCCTTGATTGAAAAAAACTAGAAAAAAATGCTAGAAACTGACTGATAAAAACTAGAATAAAATGCTAGAAACTGACTAGGAAAAAATAGTAGAAACTGACTGGAAAAAAATGCTAGAAATCATTCAACAACCAAATCAAGCAACCAAACAGCAACCCCGAACCACCAATTCAGCCACCCATAGCAATCAACACTCGAATTTGAACTCCAACAACCAAATCAAGCAACCAAACAGCAACCTCGAACCACCAATTCACATGTCCTCTTTAATTATCCAATTGTAAATAAGCATTATCCAATTTTAAATACACATTAGATGGGAATATACCTATATACATGGAATGATAAATCTAATATTATTAAATAACCTAAATAACATTATGAATTACCTGTGCTGCCTCTGTACGCCAATATCTAATGAGATAATCCCATTGGTCCTCCTCAACACTTGGTGGTGGGTTTTGCATATCGTTGTTCATCTGTACGCCAAATTTTATAATAGTTACTTTTAATTTCACTCTTCCAATCTCTCCATTTATGACCAAGGGATGATAATGTCCAATCTTTTGAGATTTCTTCTACTGCAAACTTGCCCTGCATATAAAAGATAAATAAATAAAGAATCGAGTAATTAAAAAAAAAAAATTTAACTCTAGAAATGAAATGTGTATACAAGTGAAATCAGTCAGTCAAAGATGTGAAGAGTCGAAAAAATTTTACCCGGACCGTCGTCCACATGTCCTCTTTAACTATTTCAGGGACTTTCCTCCAATTTTTATAGTTCAAGGGAGCTGCAAGACCATTACGGGCAATTGTGCCCAAATAATTAGCGAAATTTTTTTCATCGGCTCCATTAGGCTGTCCATGCTCATTCACACTGTAAAATGGTATAATAATAAATAAGTCATCGATTTGGACCAAATAAGTCAAATGGTATAATAATAAATAAGTCATTCACACTATAAAATGGCTTCACTTGCATGCATTTCCTAAAACTTTATAGTCATTCAATGCCATCATTTAAATAAAGTCACCTTAATGGTATCAGGCCATTCTTTTTGGTGTCATGTTGTACCACATTTGCGCAGCGTGTGGGTCCTCAAGTCTTCTTCGGTGTTATTAACTCATTGCTTTCAGTAGTCCCCACGTCCTCTTCTTGTGAACCATGGGAAGTATGGAACTGCGAATTTGAACCCTGAGAAAGTCCTCCATGCAATTCTAATTCCAAGTTTGTTGTTGCCCTACGTTTCATTATGTTCCTGCATAAAGCTAACAAACCTTTGTTGCCATGTTTATTCAAGCTGGTAGTTAAGATGAAATTTAGGCTGAATATATTAGGTCTTCAAAAACATCAAAATTTGGAAAAGTAACACACTTGAGAACAATTAGAATATGCAAGAAGGAAGTATAAATTTACTTAAGTATGATAGTACCACAGTTTTATTTGTTTTAGGACAATATCAATTTGAAATATGTTAAAAAAAATAAATAAATAACTAATATTATGTATACTCTTTTTACTGACCAAGTTATAAGAAAATGAGTAAGGGAGGGAGAGATGGAAAAAAAATCATAATATTCCATAAGCACGAAGCCAAAAAAAAGATGAAAAATAAGAAAATGCAACATTTAAGAAAAAATTATCATCATTCTAAGTATGTTATTCATCCAGAATATCTTCTTTTTCCGTGTTTGCTGATGAAGATTTATCAACCATTGTTCCAGGCACATCACCTCTATCCCAATGAATGTGATCATCAGTTGCATCCGAGTGTATAGAACTAAATGGTTGCTCAAATCCATAGGTCTCAGTATCATCTTCAGGAATATCATATAAATCACGAGGTTTTGTCCCTATAACAACATGTCAATCTGTATCAACCGGGTCTTGAACATAAAACACTTGCTCAGCCTGAGATGCTAAAATGAATGGTTCGTCAGTTCGCATTACACGTGAAAAATTAACGAGCGTAAACCCAAAATCATCCTCCTTTATCCCTCTACCCTTAGAGAGTACATCAAACCAATCACAATTGAACAATACAACCTTCCTTTCTTCATTGTAGTCCAACTCAATGATATCAATCAATAATCCGAAGTAATGAACATTTCCTGCAATAGGATTTTGATCACTGGCTCTTGCATAACTTGATGTGTGTGCTTTTAAAACAACATCACTATTTTGGGTCTTCCTCTGATTATCATGATCTCTAACATTAAACTTAAACCCATTAATCACGAACGACTTAAATCGTTTGGAAACGACATTAGGACCCCGAGCTAGCCATCGAATCTCATTAGGGATAGGATCCTCCGTATTCCGCAGCTGTATTTTCAAAGATATAAGTTTTACAATAAAGTAAATAGCATATATAATATAAAATTTAATTAACCGTTCTATGTGTAGATACTTACACATTCATTAAACCACTTATGAAATGATAGATGAGACATTGATTGTATTTGTCGTGGCTTTAAATTCCGTTGCCTTCTTTTAAGAAATTTCTTATGCTTTCTGTAATGAAAAAATATCATACTCTATATGTTATATTGTTAACAACAAATGAATAATAATAATAATAACAACTAGGTCAAATATTGTAAACTTTTCACTTACTCAATGAATTGTGTAGCTCCGTCGTAGTTAAATAACACATACCGATGAGCTTGTGTTTGACAATCATCATCTAAAACAATCATCTCCTGTTTTCTTAAGGCACGACCTCTAGGGCCAAAAGTAGACATCTCTTCTCCATCATCAAGGTTGTCATCATTCCTTGAGGGCCTATTGAACCTTGTCTCCACGTTTGCTAGGTATCTTGAACAAAAATTTAAGCATTCCTCAGCTAAATACCCATCTGCAATTGAATCCTCTGGGCGACTTCTATTGCGCACATAATTTTTTAAGGTTAAAAGATACCTGATAGGATACAACAAAAAAATGAGAAGTATTTGCAATATTTAGTGGGGAAAAAAGCCTACGAAAATAGTGCAAAAAAGTTAAACCTCTCAAATGGATACATCCAACGATATTGCACTGGTCCTGCGATCTTTGCTTCCTGAGCTAAGTGAATTGATAAGTGGACCATCACATTAAAAAAAGATGGTGGGAATATCATTTCCAATTTACAAAGTGTTAAAGCAATCTTATTTTGCAAATTGTCCAACTCAGCCGGTATGAGAGTTTTTGAACATAATTCCTTATAAAAGTTACTCAACTCAACAAGTGTAGAGCATACATTCTTTGGCAATAGCTTGCGAATGGATACTGGTAATAGTTGTTGCATTAGGATATGGGAATCATGGCTCTTTAAACCGCTAATTTTTCGCTCTTTCAATTTCACACAACGTGATATGTTAGCTGCATATCCATCTGGAACTTTAACTTTTTTCAACGCCCGACAAAAGATTTTCTTTTCAAGTGGAGAAATTGTGTAACTTGCTGAAGGCAAATAATATTTGTTTGCACCACGTTCCTGGGGGTGAAGTGAATGCCTTATTTGCATCTCCTACAAGTCGAGTCTTGATTTTAAACCATCCTTTCCTCGACCTGGTTCATTCATCAAAGTATAAAGTACATTGTTGCATATATTCTTCTCAATATGCATCACATTAAGATTATGACGAATAAGAAGGTGCTCCCAATAAGGCAATTCAAAAAATATACTCTTCTTCCTCCAATTGAACATTGGATTTTCATCTATTTCATCCACTTGTGCAACATTCCCCTTGCCATCATCCCCTTTCCCAAATGCTGGAAAACTAATGCCCTCTAGTTCATGTAGCACTTCTGTTCCAGATAACATAGGTGGTGCACATCTAGTCTCTTCTGTTCCGTCAAAAGCTGCTTTATTGCGTCTGAATCTATGACATTACTCAACAAAACGCCTATGGCCTGTATAACAAATTTTTTTGCTATGCTTTAACCTACAAGAACAAGTGTCTTTAAGACAAACTGGACAAGCCAAATACCCCTTTGTACTCCAACCAGATAAGTTTGCAAAAGCAGGAAAGTCACTTATAGTCCACAATAACGCTGCATGCATGCGAAACATCCCTTTTCTCGACGTATCATAGGTATCCACCCCTTCAACCCACAATTCCTTTAATTCTTCTATCAAGGGCTGCAAATATACATTAATATCATTTCCAGGACCCTTAGGACCAGGGATTAAGGTGGACAGTATGAAAAAAGGTTGTTTCATGCACATCCACCCTAGCAAGTTGTATACAGCAAGAACAACAGGCCATGTACTATGTGCAATACTCATAGTCCTAAATGGGTTGAAACCGTCTGATGCTAGGCCAAGTCTAACATTTCTAGAATCCCTAGCAAACTCTGGATACTTTTTGTCAAAATGATCCCACGCTAGAGAGTCAGCAGGATGTCTTAATTTTCCATCTTTTATGCGTTCTTCCTCATGCCATCGCATATCTGAAGCTGTTTTATTTGACATGAACAACCGTTGAAGTCTTGACTTAAGAGGGAAATACCTTATAACTTTGGCTGGAATTTTTGTCTTTTTTGATCGGGGTGATGTACTTGTACTGCCCTCGGAATGAGTGTCAAAATCCTTCCACCTAGACTTGCCACATTTATGACATGTTTCATCATTAGCGTGCTCCTTCCAGTACAACATACAATCAAAGGGACATGCATCAATCTTATCATACTTGAGACCTAAGTTACTAATTATCTTTTTTGTCTCGTAAAAAGATTTTGGCAGTGTCTCACCTTCTGGTAGTACATCTTTCAAAAACATTAGCAACTCACTAAATGATTTATCAGTCCAATGATGCAAAGTTTTCAACAAATATAGTTTCACTATAAAAGACAACTTCGTAAAGTTTTTACACCCAGGATATAGATCTGTTTTTCCATCATCTAGAAGCTTGTAAAACTTATCTGCCTCTTCATTAGGGCCCTGATGATACTCATTTTCCCTATCAGCTTGTTCACCCATTTCATTTTGAATTCCAAAACCCTCATATAAGAGTTCGTGCATGTCATCATTATTTACATTGGAGTCGATGTGCTCGTATAAGGTGTGCCCATCATTATGCCTAGAAGACGAAGGTAATTGTTCTCCATGATAAATCCAAGTTGTGTATGTTTGGATAAACCCATTCCACATCAAGTCATCCAAAACTTCTTGTCGTGTTTTCTTGATACAATTCCCACAATTGTTACAAGGACAATATATGCGTCCACTCTGCCCAACTCGCTCAAACGATGTATCTAGAAATTGTTCAACTCCATTTGAGTATGTAGTACTTATCCTATTTGTATAGTAAGAAAGACAAAAGTAAAAATGAATTCATCGTAAATATCTAAACCAAAATGAGAATTAAGCTTTATTTATTTATTATTTTTTTGAAAATTGACGAGACTAAAATTTAAATTACCTTGACTCCGTAATCCAACTTCTGTCCATTATGATAGATTCTATAACCTAATAAAAGAAATTATACATGAATCTCTACAAAATAATAAATATATTACAACAAAGTTACAAAAGTAACAAAGTAATAAAAATTATTTATTATCCTCATGAAGAATAATACATATGAGAGAGAGTGTTGGTTTTAACTATAAATACAAGTTTAATGCATTGGATTTCTTTTCCTTTTCCTTTTACAGTTTTCTTTTCCTTTTTCCTTTTCAGTTTTAATACATACAAGTTTACTTTAATTCATGAAAAAATATAAGGCTTGACTAGTTAATTTGTTTTGTGAACACTAAAACCAAAAGTTAGGGTTCACATCCATAGCAAAAGTTGCTGGAATTTAAAGAATACGACAAATTGGAAGAACCCATGTATCTCACCAATCAATGAATTCTTAAGAAAGAGACCCTATTAACATAATACAAGCCACAAAAATACAAACTACAATATAAGAACAATAAAAACCCATCTGTTTAGAAAAGAAATAAGCCAAAGCAGCAGAACCAACATGAAAGCCTCAAAATCATAAGACCCCAAAATCGGCAACAACATACCGAAAATCGGCAACAACATTACCCTATTTCCTTCAAAAATCAGAAGCCCCAAAATCGGCAACAACATACCAAAAATCGGTAACAACATTACCCTATTTCCTTCAAAAATCAGAAGCCCCAAAATCGGCAACAACATACCAGAAATTATATATGCAGTAGTTGGAGCTGATTCGTTCAAGAAAGAGTAAAATGGAGAAAAACCCAAAACATATATGCAATTGTTCTCTTTACTTAAGAAATTAACGACAATATAAGCTAATTACTTAAGAGAGAGAGAGATAAGTGGAGCTCTTAAGAAGGGAGGGATTAGGGTTAGAAGTTTTTAGAACTAACCGTATGCCAACTAAACAACCACCACTATGCAGATCTCTGATGCGCCACCAATCGGCCACCACCGCCGTGATCTTCCCTGCGCCACACCAACCGCACCACCAAGGTTTGAAGCCGTGATCGAGTCAGTGAGAGAATAGAAGGGAGGAATAGAAATAGTGTGAATAGTAATAGCCTCCCCTAAACGTGATTTTTAGGAAAAAAATAATAATACATAAAATAATAACAATTAAATAAAAATTACATAATTTCTGGCATATTTTTTATATCCGCCGGAATTATTTAATTAATTCCGGCGCTTTTATAAACACCGCCGGAAATACTACATATATACCGGCCGTTTTTATCATACCGCCGGTATTATAACCAATAATGGCAGTTTATTATAAATTGCCGGTAAAAATTAATTAACAACGGCACACACATAAAAACTGCCGGTAAAAATGATATTTCTTGTAGTGAACATATCGGCAGGTTCACTATTCAATATGGGGAAGCAGGATCCAGTCCGTGGTTGAAATTGAGGATTTTTCCAAACTCCCTCATGGGATCAGTCTTCTCTTGGTATATTCACTTACCACCAGATTCTGTTCATTCTTGGCAGTAGATGGAGGAGCTCTTCCATATGAAGTTCTACCGGACAGAATTAGAGGTAACTCTGGCCGATATATCTCGGTTGTGCCAGATGGCCAATGAATCTGTGGAAACTGATGAGCCCCTCTCTAAGTGTTTAGAAAATGAACTTTTTAATGTGAGAGGTCGTTTCGCAAGGTCAAAATATGATTGTAGTTTAGGAAGCATTTAAAGGTCAAATTTACATTTATAAAACCACTACTACAACTAATGAAGTATAGCGAGTAGGGATCGTCCACAAAGATTATACATGTTGGAATTTAATTTCGACTTTAGCGTATCAAAAGATTGCAAAGAAGGGTTTGGTTGATTAAACTATGGTGAAGTGAAATTAAAATGCAAGTAAAATAAACTAATGAGAGATAGGGAATTAAGATATATGAAGAGAGGTCTTAGGGTGTTAGAATCACCACTAAGCTCATGTAATTAACCACTTAAATTCCATTAATGGAGAATACATTTTTGCAATCAAGATGTAGCCATAAACATAAACACAATTTGCATGTAAAAGTGTGAACTATCTAATGCAAGAGTGAATTGTTTACCTAACCAACATGTAAACTAAGTGTAGAACAACCCACCAAGACAAAGGCATAATCCATCAATTAGTTAACAAATGGGTCTAATGAGAGCACACATCAATCTAGAGAATCATGAAATTTGCAATAATAAGTGTAGAATATCAAATCAAGAATAGATTGTCTATCTACCTACAAACATGAATTAAATTGTAGAACAACTCATCAAGTATAAGTATAATCCATCAAATTAGTTTACAAACCCATTTAATGAAAACCCATGATTAGCATCACTAAATCCTTAATTAATCACACATAGATATGCAACCAACATAGATAATCTAGTGTAGAGATCAATTCCCAAATAATCACACATAAGACAACATGTAATTAAAATAAGGAATCATTAGGAAGAATTGAATCAATAATCATAAGGTTAACTACTAATCACAACAATATATATATAAATCCCCAAAAATAGAAATACAAGGGTTTAGATTACACAAGACTTAGGGCTCATCTAAGCCCTAAGTGTAGATCTAGCCAATCATAGAGGAGGTGAATGTGGTCATGAAACCCTTAAGGGTAAGCTCCAAACATGGCTTTATCTTCTTCTTCTTCTTCTTTGAAGCTCTAGAGAGAGAGAGAGTATGTGGATCTAGAGATGTATTCTTGAGATGTGCCTCCACTTCCATCTTTTCTTCTAACCATAATCTCTAGCTTTCTAGAGAGAGAAACTAATAAAAATATAGGAATTACAATGTAAAAATATGAATCTCCCCACAAAAAAGGTTCAATCCCTCATATATACAAGGCTTTTAGAGCCCAAAAATGTGAGAACTCAACCCTAGGATCTCCTCTTTCAAGCACAAACCGAGTTGGTTTGAAATGAGCTTTAGATCTGCTTTTTAATAATTTCAGCGAACAGTTCGATCGATCTCAAGGTTGGTTCGATCAATCAGGGTTCAATCGATCCAACTTTTCTTCAATTGATCCAACTTGGCAGTTTTTCAGCATCAGCCTCCTTTTACTCCAAATTCTCACCAAGACTTAGTTTGACTGGAAAAAGGCCTTAATAGATCGAAATTAGGCCGTTTTAATATTATTGACTTGAAATAGATAAAAACATGAAATTAGACTAAAACAGGAAAATAAGATAGAATAAGGTCCTAGAATATTCAAGCTTAAGGGGTTTAAATGCGCACTTTTCAGCGCCTATCAGAAATATTCATTGCCAGATTCAGAAGGGCTAAACTTAAGTGTCGCGTTTCTATTCCATAAAGGGAGTATGTTAGGCTAGCCCTTAATGGCCTAGACTTTGAGCACCGGAAGAGGATTAAAGGAATAGAGTTCAGAGACTTATTTGAGTTAGCTGACAGAGCCAGCAGATTTGAGTCCATACTCAAAGAAGAAAATGATAGAAATAATTATTCCAAAGGAACTTACTATAGAGATCCTACCTACGAAGTTTTCTCAATAGAATTGGAAGATGATTTGGAAGCTAATGTAGCCGATGTTCATATCAAGAAGCCATATGTTTATGAGGCTTTGGTCAAATCAAAATCTTTCATAAGTGTCGGACAAGCATCTACCTCTTCGGCCAAGAAAGGAATGGTCGATTCAGGAAAAGTCTATACTTTCGACCTGTCTAAAAGGAAATAGATATTTGATCATCTTATGGCCGATAAACAAATATTGTTGCCAAAAGGACATATTATTCCTATAGCTAATGAGCTAAAGTGAAAGGAATTCTGCAAGTACCACAATTCCTAGAATCATGGTACTAATAATTATTATGTATTTTGAATTTTTTTGCAAAAAGCTATTGATGAAGGTATGTTGAAATTTCCATCAAATAAATCAGAAGTAATGGGAGTGGACATTGATCCATTTCCTACTATTGTTGCTAGCAATATGATCAGCCTTGCTCCAAAGTTTCCAAGGAAAAAGGTTGATACTGGGGAAGAAAAGCAAATGCAGGAAGTTCTAATTAAGCTAGACCCAGTTACTTCCAATAGTGAGTTGATAGTGACTTGGAAAAGAGGTTCAGAGAAGCCAGATTGCTCTTATCAATCATAGCCAGTGCCCAGATTACCAGGGTTGTGATAACAGAAGGCATCACCATGACTGTAGAAGGGATTCTCATTCTTCCAGAAGAAGTATTCATTACCAACTGATGGATGCATGGACGACATATGACCGGCAGAAAAGAATTACAGTGATATGTTCAAGCCAACAATCTCCTATTTTTAAAAGGAGACTCCAGATTCAATTTGAGGTTTGGGTACAAAAAGGGATGTTTCACACAAATTCTGAATGGTGAGACCACCTGTTACTTTACCTGAGAGATGGAAGAGACTAGAACATCCGAAAGAAAGGCCTTCGGCCAAGTATGGCCTCACTTGGACCCAGAAGAGGAGGCTGCAACGCAGAAGGGCTGAGGGGTGGAAGAAAGAAGAATCTTATAACGGCTATTCTAAATCTGCCGTTAACTGAGATGGGAAATCAGAGCATCAACCAGAAGACATGGACATAACCATTGCTTTTAGTGATGAGGTTGCACCTGAGAGGCATGAAACTGATACAGATGTGGATCTCAAGCATGCTCCTAAGTACAAAATTCATTTTGGAAGTTTTCTAGAAGAAGTGGCTTGTAGTATGGCTTTTGTTTTACTAGCCGTCTTTAAGGCTACTTAATGTCAGTCAATGACAGCGGAAGAAAGCCTTAAGACAGCAGAACCACTTAGAGCCACTAATGAAGAAGTGGTGGCTATTGAGGCAACAACATAGAGTACTGATTCAGCTAAAAAAGGATAGGTTACTACAAAAGTAACAAATGATGCTGACAATGTGGTATTTGAAAAACCACCGTTAGCCATGACCAAGCAGTTAAGGCCACTTTATGTGAAGGTTTGGGTAGAAGGACAACCGATCAATAGAGTTCTGGTTGACAATGGATCAGTTTTAAATGTTATTCTAATAACTACATTGAAGTTGCTTGGCAAAAGCACTGAAGATATTATCTTTAGTGATGTAGCTATTAGTGGGTTTAATGGAGGAGCCATTAATACCAAAGGAATTCTGCCTTTGGAGATTACCATAGGCTTTCGTTTGCCGCATTCTTCTTGATAGAATCAATAGCGGCATATAATCTCCTTCTAGGACGGGATTGGATCCATCCCAACATGTGTATACCTTCATCTCTACATCAGATACAGATCTTCTAGGAAGGAAGTGAAGTGAAGAAAGTGGAGGCTGATGACAAACCTTTTGTGGCAAAGGTATATTTTGCTGAAGTAGTTCTATAAGATGAAAATTGTGTACCAATCAAGTTTACAGGTACATATAAGATGAGAAGACCAATATTAGCCACTACAAGAAGAAGGTTAGCTGATGGGGACATGTAAGAACTAACGAATGAGATGTCTAGGCCGAGGATTGAATTCCCATGACCAGTTGCTGAAAATACTCAAGTGGTTAATGATGAACAAGGACCACAGTAAAAAGAGAGAAAGAAAGCAGGCTTTCTGGGCCGCTTGTATTAGGCTAAAAGTATATTTTGTTGAAAAAAGATTGGCAAGCATGAATAGTTACTTTCAGAATGTTCGGCTAATGTGGCCGAAGTTAGAGTTCCAGAGGAGATGTAAGAAAAACTGGATGCAATTCAGTTAGAAGATTTGGGATCGGCTCCTTGTAGAATGGATGATAGCAAGGTAGAAGTTCAAGATCCATTGTTGGAAGTCAATTTGGGCACGTAAGAAGTTTGTTGGAACCTATTTATTAGGTAAAGATGATTAATCTGCTGAAAGAATATAAGGATTACTTTGCCTAGAATTATGAAGA